TGTTTGTTAATGGATGATGTGTACATATCTTACCAGACTGTCCTTTCTCTATTGAAGTACTTCCATGTTCCTGAGATTCATTCAAAGTGTTGGTTGCTGTTCCTTTATCTTTATTATTATTACACTTTACTCCTCCATCTCCCTACACACACAATATAGTAAAATAATGATGATGAAGAGTGTTTCTAATAACTGTTACTTGATTATCACATTCCGAATCATCCATTGTTAATGTCAGTGATAATAGTTCTTTAAGAAAAATATCAAGATTTTTGAAATAAATAAATACATAAAATAATGTAAAACCAGTGACAGTGAGTGGTTATACCTTTTTGTTGATCATCATTGGACTCACTGATCTGTGTGGGTAAGTAATTAGTAGCTGGTTCCTCATTTTGAATTGTTGTCTCTACATAAAAGTATATTAATACAAACATTATTAAACCACATGCAGTCACTATAATGTATTATACTATAATACTACCACTACTTGACAATTGTGATAGTACATAATTGTTATAAATACCTAGCTTTATTGGAGTCAATGGTGTCTTCAATTCTTCAGTTATTTCAATCACTTCCTATACAATAATAATAATAATAACTGATATTTGTCACCGTGCTTGTTTATCAAGGTGATATACATCAGTAGTGTATAGCTGAAAGGTGAGTTTAACAGATGTACTAGTATATATTATTAGTAGTAAAAGCCACACAATGACAACCCACAATTATGACAAAGACTGAGTAATTTGATAAGAAATAAAATTACTTTTAAGATATGACCTTTTGATTATTAGTGCTTGTATTAATGTATCAAGTGTGTGTTAATTCTTACCTTAATATCACGTCCTCCTAATAGTGACAGGTTACTAATATCTGATAATGATTCATCAGGTAGGATCTCCTTCAATTCTGTACGCTTAGTACCAGTGGTAACTAGAAATGGTCGTTGTTCAACTAATGCTGACAGTACAGCTTTTACACTATACACTGTCCTTTCTCTTGGTGTATTAACAGGATAGACTAGTTCTTTAGGATCAATAACTAACTCTTTTACCTCTAGACTAGGACAGGATTCTTTATAAACACTCATTACCTCTCCTATCACATCTCTTCTTAGAGACACCATATTGTCCCTGTAACCTTTCTCACAGGACATCATTACTAGTACACACTGGTTCTCATCCACAATCTCTACCAGTGATCCTACACCATGACCATTAGACCAGTAAAGTCCATTCTTCCAAAATGTACAGTAACGATTTAACTTGCCATCTTCTTGAGGTAGAGCCATTTTATAAGCAAGATGTAATGAGAGGACGTGGAAGTATCGAGGAGGAAAGAAATGATGTTTACTAGTACACTGTAGACACCAACCAAACTGGTACACTTCACTAGTCATCTCATCAGGTCTATCAGTAGACAAAAGACATGGAAAG